TCCTCATAAAAAAACAGAAAGTTGTGAGGGGACCAGATGTGTTGGAAGCTCATTAAAGTTATTCAGCATCAGGCAGGGCAGGATTTCTGAAATGTTCCTCCCTGTCAGCTGCTACATGCAGGCTCTCTGTGAATTTGTCTGTCGTTAATAAGTTTCATCCCTCAGTTTTCTGTTCAGGCTCCAGGAGTCTGTCTCTAATGGGAGGTCGGATAAATCCAGACCAGGCCGCCAGTTTATTATAGGACCCACTAACGTGCAAATACAGTACACACAATAAATTCATAAAAAGAAGTGCATACAGGGATGAGCGACCTGTTTAGTGAGGATTTTAGGAACACACAGTTTAATAATTTGATTTTTATTTTTAATTTTTTTTGAGAGTTCAGAACAGCTGAAAAGTTATATATATTTTTAATTTAGTTATTATTTTATTATTTATTACAACACCGCATTATCATCTATACAGCATACACACAGCTTAGAGACGTCCACAATGAGGTCACAGAGGAGAAATTTTTGTTAAATTTTTTTTTCTTTTAAGTAAAATTCAATCTGGGGCTTAAAACCTTTTTGCTGTGAGGCGACCATATTCTAGTTTAAGGGATTGATTAACTTTTGTTTTGTTTGACTCACTCAAACCCAGTTGCAGCTTGCTTTACCAGAGTTTACACTACAATGTAATTTATTGTATTACTGCTCTTGTACCTGAACATAATTAAATCTGTCCAACCCTAGAGTGAAYGAGTCACAACAGGTGCTCGTCAGTCATACAATAATGCAATTTTTTATTTATTTGCAACACACCTTTGGTAGGATATGACAACAAAATGAGCCTGGACCCATCTGTGAACTGTTAAGTTATAAATTTATCTTGTCCTGACCACGGAGGAACAGCAGTATCTTTTGAACAGTACATCAACTCTGGCAGTCGGTGTTTGATTTATGTAAAAGATGTTCAGTCAGCGCAGATTTCAGGTTCCTAAATGTTGGTGGGAGCAGTTTTTCACGAGGYGTTGGCCCATTTTTCATTTGGTATCTCTGCGTCCGTTGGCATTACATTTTTTTCGTGCTTAATAGAAAGTGTCAGAGGCCTGTGTGGATGCATTGATTTTATGGTATCATCCAGGAAATTTGAGGATGAGGAAGGATGAAGGAAGGTGCTGCAGTGGAGAGAGAGGGGGTAAAAAAAAGTCAGACTTAGAACAGGAGAAGGGAGGGAGTCGGTGAAGATAAAGATTAATGGCCATTTTGCTTGTGGAACCTACGTTTGGCAGCTGCACAGAAGTCATTTAGGGTGTCATCTTTAAATGTGTGAGCGAGCCCTCGGTGGAGGCTGCAAAAWGGTCTAGAACAGAGACGAGCTGTATTACGTCCACAGATGCTGCTCGTCCAATGAGGATTGATCTTGTGTTTGAGTGCGCTGCCTCTGAGTTGGTAAACCAGACGTGATGAATATCGGTGGTGGAGGAATACGTCTCTAAAACGAAGAAAAACAGCAGGGCATCATCTGAAAACAACTAAAATAAAAGACCTACRTTCATTGAAGAAATACCTATCGCTCAGTTCATCTTATTTTGAAATGATCTGTTCGTGTATGTGTTGTGACACACTCTCAGCTAATATTGTACCACATTTGTTTGTTGTTATAATGTGAGTATGTTGGTCACAATTCAGAGCAATGAAACTCCCAGATATTAATCATCTGTAAAACTATACAGGGTGCTTTCCTGCATCTGTGTTCCTGAGTCATTGAGTTAATGGAGGGCCTTGGTCAGGGTAATGGAGAGACCCTCCCTACAGGCTGAGTGGATAATTTAATTAATGTCAGCCTCCTCCTCCATCCCTCCCTCCCTCATGACTCATCTGTGTTGTGCTTTTGCTTCCATTTTGGACACTTGTCCTCTCCTGCTCAGGTGGGGCTGGTTTTCAGGCTGATGCCTCGAGCCTGACTGCGTTGCTTTCGCAAATTACCATTTCTGCAAACCCGGTCTGACATTTAAGGGGCAGCTC